ACCCCTCCTTTTAATGTGCAGGCAATGTACTTACCATTTCCTGGATCTCAGGTCCGACTATTTGTAAATAACGCGTTTCCCTGTATCCCTTCTCTAAATATTACCTGCTCACACTCCAACAGTTCTTAAGTCATCGGTCCCAAGTATCATTGTCTCAATTCAATCCTAATCTACAAGCTCAAGCACGCTTGCTGGAAGTCTAGCCCCGCCACATAACCTCCTTTACCACTCTCTCCAACCCCTATTGGTCGACCCCTAACCCGCCTTCCTTCCCCCTATAGATTCATATGCTTTACATGTCATTCTACTTTGATCCATTATATATAAATGACAAACCACCTCAACAACCCCTCTTCTGCCCTCTGACTAATGCTTTTATTAACTCCACACCTTCTCCTAATTTCCACACTCCGAATTTTCTGCATAATATTTACACCACACATTGCCCTTAGACAGGACATCTCCACTGCCTCCAACCGTTTTCCTAGCGGCTGGCATTTACCACCAAAGCTTCACACCCATATAAAGAGTGTTGGTACTACTATACTTTCATACATTCCCTTCTTTGCCTCCATAGATAACGTTTTTTGACTCCACATATAGTTTTAAAAATGCAGTATTAGAATGTGGGGCAGAAGTTTGTGGTTATAGGAGGTTGGGGGCAGGAGGAAAAAGAGGATGAGATTGGTGGAAATGATGAAGTACACAGGCGTGTGATAAAGAGGAAAAAAAGGTAGCTTACGAGAGGTTTTTTACAAAGCCGAAGTGTTTTCAGAAGAGCAGGTATATGGAGAGTAAACTGAAAGGTGAGAGAAGTGGTGAGAGAGTTGCAAAAAGGAGAGCAGATGAAAGAAGTGGGAGAGGCAACTGTCAAGAATTTTAATGAAAATAAGAAAAATTTTGGAGTGAGTTAACCAAAGTTAAGAAAGCCCTAGGGAAGTATGGAATTTGTTCCGTTTAAAAACAGAGTAGTAGGCGGGTTTAGTAGATGGGGAGAGGGATGGTATGAGGTAGATGGCGAGAATATTTTGAGGGGAACTTTTAATTGTTGAGGAAGAAAGGGGGAGGCGGTATTTCATGGGGGGCACGGACAGGGAGGTATACATCTTTTAAGGAGTGAAGAAGAGCAGAAAGTAATGTAGTTGTGTGGAGGTAGTGCGTCATTACGTAGAATGAAAAAGGGGTGTTTAACCAGCTGGAAACTGATGGGTCATGACAGAAATGTTAAACTAATCCACTACCTTTCCAATTTTTCTTTAGGAATCTCCCTTAAGAACAGTATCATCAGCAAAAAGTAACTGTAGGTCATTCCCCCATTGAGTTTGTTTACCAATAATTTAATCCAACCCCTCTCCTGAAACACCCTAGCATTTACTTCTTTTACAACCCCACTCTATAAATATATTAAACAACCATGGTGACATTAAACATCCCCCTGTCTAAGTCCTACTTTACCGGGAAGTATTTCCTCTCTTCTACACACACACCCTATCCTGAAGCCGCACTATACCTCTTAAAAGCTTATTTTACAGCATTTAGTAACCTACACCTATTTTCCATATACTTGCCAAAATCTGCCACATTGTCCTCTATCCACTTATCATATGCCTTTTCTAAATCCAGTAATGCAATAAAACTTTCCCTCACCTTTATCTAATATACTGTTCAATATTGCTTCAATGTAAACACTTGATCTACACATCCCCTACCACACTCTGGAAGCCTCTGATCATCCGACAATCCTACATTCTGTCTTACTCTAATTCTTTCAATTATAACCCTACCGTATACTTTTCCTAGTATACTCAGTAAACTTATTCCTCTATAATTTTTACAGTCTCTTTTGTCCCCTTTCTCTTTATATAAAGGGACTATACATGCTCTCCGCCAATCCCTAGGTACCTTCCCCTCTTTCGTACATTTATTAAACAAAAGTACCAACCACTCCAACACTATATCCTCCCCTGCTTTTAACATTTCTGTCATGATCTCATCAGTTCCAGCTGCTTTACCCCCTTTCATTCTACGTAATGCCTCATGTACCTCCACCACACTTACTACTTTCTGTACTACTATAGATTCTCAATATAAAATTTTAGGAAAAATGGCAATGAAACCCAATAATGTCTCGAGAGCCACGTGCAGCTCAAGAGTCGCAGTTTGCCCATGTCTGTTACATAGGCATGAATGGGGATGAGTGGATTTTAATGCATGCTCTATTGAGGTGTGATCAAATGTAACTTACGAAAGGGTTCAGGGAAACCAGTTAGGTGGACATGCGTCCTGGAGGTGGGGAAGGCAGTACTAACATGCTATCGTGGGTTATCTTAATTCTGTTATTGTTCTTTGTTAAAATAGTATTGACTCTTGGAGAAGATCCTTAACCCTCTGAGAGTCAGGACTCCTGCTCTCAAACTTGCTCTCATTTCATAAGAAATGGTAGAAAAATTTTTTCTGAAGGTAATAAAACAAAGTACAAAATTCAATGGAAAACTGACGAAATTACACTTTCACAAATTTTGCTTTGTCAGCGATATTTACGAATTGATGATTTCACCCACTTTGAGCTCAATTTTGGGCCAGTTGCATTGTTCCAGTCAACCAAATTCTTAGCTATTTCACTAAAATACCTTCCATTCTGTTGAATGAGTACAAGAAACCTCCTATTCAACTTTTTCAACTACTCAGTAAAGTGTCAGGAATTGGTAATTTGGCCAATTTCACACAAAATTAAAAAATACCAGTTTCAAAATAGGGTCCAGAGTAAACAATGTAGACATTCCTGGCAATAAAATAACATTTTCTCTGTTCATTAGTTACGTCCCCAGGCCTCTCCGATATTACACATGCATTCCATTGGAATTTTTATTCACACAAAAAACAATATTTACTGTTATGCAGACTACTGCATTGTCATAATTGTATAAATAGTTGATGCATTCTTAACCCCTTCAGGGTCCGTGCCATAGTTCTACAGCTTTGAAGCCAAGGTAAGTGCCGTAGTACTACGTCACGAGCTCAGCTCACTCGGATAAGCTATGAATAGTAAATTTGGGCCTAGATATGAGAGAATGGGTCTGTGTGGCAAGTGTGCACCATATAAAAAAAAAGTCCTATAGTGCATAGTGAGGAAGAAAAAATTCTGCCAGTTTGTTTTGGATTAAAACAGAGACTTTGTGGTGTATTTTTGTATAGTTTTTATGATTGTTTTTGCAGTTTCTTAATCTCATTTGATAGAATGGAAGATATATTACAGAAATAGATGATTTTGATTGTTTTAGGAATGAAAATAGCTTGAAATTGAGCTCAAAGTAGCAGAAATGTTTAACTTTTGCCAATGTTCAAGAGTAAACAAATCACATCACACGTCCAATACACATCAACTGGTGGGTCTAATTTGTGTTCATGAATGCACTGGTATTATTTATAAAATTATTGTTTTACATGATGGTTGGATTGCTGGTGTCCATTTTTCTGTCTCATGAACATGCAAGGTTTCAGGTACGTCTTGCTACTTCTACTTACACTTAGGTCACACTACACATACATGTACAAGCATATATATACATACATACACCTCTGGGTTTTCTTCTATTTTCTTTCTAGTTCTTGTTCTTGTTTATTTCCTCTTATCTCCATGGGGAAATGGAACAGAATTCTTCCTCCGTATGCCATGCATGTCGTAAGAGGCAACTAAAATGCCGGGAGCAAGGGGCTAGTAACCCTTTCTCCTGTTTATATTTTTAATTGTAAAAGGAGAAACTTTTGTTTTTCCTTTTGGGCCACCCTGCCTCGGTGGGATACGGCCGGTGTGTTGAAAGAAAGATTGCATAACAGTAAATTTTTTATTTTTTTGCTGACTAAAATTGTGTGAATAAAAAATAAAAATGGAATTAATGTGTAAAGCCTGGAAACGTAACAAATGAACAGAAGAAATGTTATTTTCGTGCCAGGAACACCTTCATTGTTAATTCTGGACCCTATTTTGAAAATGAAATATTTTGAAATTAGTCTGAAATCTGCCAAATTACCACTTTCTGATAACTTTATTGGGTAGTTGAAATACGTAGTTGATTGGGTGGTTTCTTGTGGTCAATTGGTAAAATAGAAGGCATACTAGCAAAATAGCTAAGAATTTGGTTGACTGGAGCAGTGTAATTGGCCTAAAATAGAAGTCAAAGTGGGCAAAATCACCGATGCATAAATATCGCTGACACAGCAAAATTTGCAAGTGTAATTTCATCAGTTTTCCATCAAATATCATACTTTTTGTTTTATTACCTTCAGAAAAAGATTCTCTACTACTTCAGAAGGAAAAATTAGCTTTTTTATTCTTAGATCCTGTAGACACTTCAGACTGGGGGTCTGGACCCTCAAGGAATTAAATGAATATTAGTGACCAGATGGATGCGTATCGAGTGAGTGAGCGAGGTCATTTGTGTACTCTGGAATATCAGCAAAAATAGAAAATTTCCACTACTCAGTTTCAAGCTACTTTCAGTCCTGAAACTAATCAGAATCATCTCTTATTTCTATAATATATTTTCCATTCTAGCAAACGAGACCAAGAAACCAATAATACAACCATGAAAACCATATGAAAATTCACCGCCAAGTTGGTGTTTTAAACTAGAAAAACTGTTGCTGTTTTTTTTTTATTCCCACTATGTACTGCTTGCTGCAGCATTTTTTTTTTATATAGTGCACACTTACTGTATAGGCCCAAATTTACCATTCTCAGCTTATTTGAGTGAATTGATCTCATGGCGTAGAACTACGGGACCGACCCAGACTTCAGAACCATAGTACTATGGGACCTACCCTCAGCAGGTTAAAGCACATTAACTGTGTGTCTTTCATTTCATGTACTTTGTAATGTTTTATAACACCGAATTACATGAAACTAATTTTTTTTCCTCGTTAAAAGTTTTGCAGTTGTATACAACTCTGTGGAAGATTACAGATTACATTTATTTCTAATGTAAATGAGCTTGTTCCAGGCCTCGTCTTCGGCAATACCAGCACATATAAAAGCATCACGCGAATATAAGCAACAGATAAAGAATATGACATCTGCAGCGTCTGCAGATGCATTATCACCAAGTGCACTGCAAGCCCAAAAACATCTGTTGGCTAGGGGTGAGTGTATGAAACTTCTTTTAGTTCACTCATACTTAGTACTCTTGATGTACATATCTTCTAATTAAGACTTCTGTTCCTGTTGTCTTCAGAGTGTTAATATGCTGACATGTTAATGGTAATTATTGTTTGTACAGTGGTACCCTGAGTTTCGTACAGCTCCCAACTCTAACAATTATGCAAGTGTATTATTGTAAGTGTTTTTGTAAGTGTATTTTGGGGGGGGGGTCTGAAACGGACTAATCTAATTTACATTATTCCTTATGGGAACAAATTCATTCGGTAATGGCACTCGAACAGCCTTCTGGAATGAATTATGGCCGAAACTCTGGGTACCACTGTATATTATTTTTAGAAGAGGTAAACTTTCAATATCAGAGTAATGTGAGTGTTGCAAAAAATTCTTATTAGAATCACTTCCTTGTGTTCATAATTCTTTATTATTTTTATGTGTCTCTTTCCTGATATCCTTTATTTTATACACATTGTACTGGATGTAAATTCTCAAGAATGTGCCATCGTTCCTAACATTACACATTGGCCACATTCACATTGCACTATTTATCAACAGATTACAAATTTATAAAAAACCCTAAACAAAATCACTGGTGGTTTACAGCCACTGAAGCAATATTTCTTCAGCTTATTAATCGTATCCCCAGGCCTTTCGTATGACACGTGCTTTCCTTTCCCTGGAAAATTACAAGAAGGCCACCATTAATGAAGTTGCTTTAATATGGCATGGTATAATTCCCTGATGCTTGTATGGTTTATAAACCCCACACACACTTATTTCTTTTGTACTATCATATTACACTAAACCCTTTAACAAACCTCATTTTGAAAGGCTTGGGAATATGGGTCAAAATCTGCTGAAGCAGTTAATTTGGATACAGTGGACAAAGTCCATTATTTTCAGAATTGTCCATCATTGTTACAATTTAGGTAAACTGTTGCCTTCTGTGTAGCAGTCACTATTACTGCCCACCCGTCTTTCCACCATTAGGCCAGTAAATTGAGGGTTTACTGTACACAATTTATAAACTATTTCAAACTGAGGTTGTGTTGGAGAGGGTTGTCTCCAACAGTTTGTGAAAGGTCATACTTTAATAAAAAAAAAATTTATCAACACGGCTGTTTCCCACTAAGGCAGGGTGACCCGAAAAATGAGAAACGCTTTCATCATCGCTTGCTCCATCATTGTCTTGCCAGAGGTGTACCAACAAGATGATGGAGTGAGTGAGTGATGATGAAAGTGTTTCTTTTTCGAGTCACCCTACCTCAGTGGGAAACAGCTGTGATAATAAAAATTTTTTTTATTAAATTATGACCTTTCACAAGGCAAAAAAGAAAATCTTTAATAAATTTTTCAGCATTATCTAGAGTTCTTCATCCAGTTCATCTTGCATCTTAGTTTGAAAAGGATGGGTTCCAGCTCTGGGCCTGTTGTGGATGTTGACCTACTGCTAGGCTTACCACATTGACCTCAAACTTGAGTTGTATTTGAGAGGGATACGCTCCAGCTACTGGGCCTCTTATGTGTTAGGCTACATTTTTAGGTTTTGGATCTTTTGATCCAAAAACTGACATGGATCCAAACAAGTGTCTAGAGAGGATCAGTTCTACGGCAGTTGATGCTCAGTGTACATTCCCCTAAGAAAAAAAATGAAAAGTCAACTAGAAAGAGAGAGACATTTCCTCTACAGGCAACAGTGAAGAATCAGAGCTTGTCAAGGGTGCTGGATTATTTGAAATGTGGAAGGAAACACTAACTTGGGAAATAGAAAATATTGAACCTAAGTTAAATGAATCTTACATAACCCAGGAGAGAGACAATGAGCTAAAAGCCATAATGAAATTGAAAGAAATTGAAAATATTTCTTCTTGTTTGCCAGAAAAAAAAGAAGAAAACACATCCAGTATTGGGCCCCTTGCTTAACCAAGATGGAACTTATACTGACAGCAAAGAAATGAGTGAGATACTGAAGTCTCTACAACTCTTCATTTAGCATGCTGTTAATTAGGCTCAGGATTGGCAGTCTGAATTAATTTTTTATGAACAAGGTCCAAAATTTTGGCAACGTCTCCAAAATTTCTGACATAACCCTAATACCATTGGGCTTTGAAAAAGCCGTCGACAACATGCCCACACACACACTGCTTCAGACCCAGACCCATGGAACATGTTCATCAAGAATTGCAAGAAACCCTTGTGTGCCATGTGTATGCTATAGAGAGGGAGCCTTGAAACAAGTCGTCCCACAGTTGCTAAGAACCGGATATAACCCCACTCTACAAAGGTGGCAGTAAAGCAGCAGCAAAGAATTATAGACTGATGGTTTTGTCCCACATCATAAAAATCATTTCAGGGGTTCTAAGAGGCACGATTGTAGGCGAGTCATGGTGGGTTGTAGGTGAGAGAAGATGGTGGTGAGTACCCTGAGTCGTGGAAGGAGGCTTTAGTTCCAATTGAGAGAAGGCAAGAGGTTAGGTTGGTTGGGACCCCAGGAGGGGAGGGGCTCTCCTGGACTGGTGGCTGTGTCTAACTTATTGCCCCTGCCCCTTCTTGCTGCCTCCCTCAGGCGAGAGAGGACGGGGGCTTGCATGGTCCTGGATGTGTTGGAGTGGGGTGAGGTGTGTGACTTGACTGCATCATTCCTCACTCACCACTGCCTTCAACACCGTGTTAGTGATATTTAATGCGATGTTGGTTATATATCAGAGGTACTGTAATTGAGTGATTGCAAAAGAGTGAAAATGCACAGTAGCCACTCTCTCCAATCATATGAGAGAATTTTTACTGCACATTGTGAATTCCTGGTAGAACTAGGGTCACCACTTGTAAATGAAATTGCACATAGTGAATCAACATAAGGCCATGTAACCCTGAATTTCAGGTGGGAGAGAATAAATATGGAGTTGATTATTCTGGCAAATTCTTACTCCCAGGGTGATTGGGTAAATTTATGTAATGTTAATGCAATTTTGCTATATTTTCTTAAAAATAGTGGAGGGGGGGGGTAAAGCAAAAGTTTAAAAAAAAATATATGTATGGAATTTGATTATTCTATGGGAATGTTTTTTTTTTTAATCACACTTGCTTTTGTATCCCACATAAATAAAGCATTAAATGGTTTCTTTATTTATAGAAGTGTGTAGAAGTAAATAGATAAATTGATTGATAGACAGATAGATGAATTTCAGTCAAGATTCATTTTCTTCCTCAGGCACTACGTTAACTAGTACTGGTGGTGGAAATGGTTCCAGTAACAGTAGTAGCAAGTCCAGTAATGGAGGTAGCAGTGGCAGTTCCAGCAACTTGTTAACGGGACTACCGTTGAATATTAACCTTCCATTCAACTTGTCGCGTGAAGTGGAGATAATTCGCAAAGATTCTCCAGCATCGTCTTCGTCTCCTGGCCCAGGGCCATTGGACTCTCCCTCTCAGGTGTCCATCTCCAAGGTGCGGACGTCCACCCCTCACACCTCCCATCCATCAGCCGACCGTGCCCTCATAAAGGTTCGCACATCATCCTCATGCTGCAGCTCGGCCAGGCTTGCTACCGTATTATTATTTCTTTAGTTGTATTTTTATGAAAATTTATTTTCTGATTGGAGAAGATAAAATCTTGTTAATGGAAACTAATTTGTTTTTCGATCCATTCTGTAGTAAGATAAGGTGAACCCTAAATAAATAAAGCAGAGTTCAGTATCTTGCCTTATTTAAGTTTTTCATGTTTAGTATAATCATTAGTTTATTTACTTCTTCGTTTAATTGATTACTAGTATTTTATTTTATTTTTGAAATTTGAAAAAGTTTAGTTAAAACATATTCTGTAAATATATTTAAAGAAATAAAACAAACGAACATACATTTGTAAATATAATATGACAAGATTACGAGAGTACTGTAATAGAGAGGAAGCTTACATATGAAGGCAAATTATCTGACTTTAAAGTGAGGGACTGGAACAAGTGACTCAATGGTAAGAGTATCTGAAGCATTAGGTTTCCACTGGAATAAAAAAATTTGAAACTTGCAATGTGATGCACCCAAAGTCATCTGGAGACTTTTGCTCTTGCTCGTACAACGTGCGTGTAATATAGGGTTTCTCGGTTAGTGTTATGATTCTCAGTGGGTTTAATTTTTCATAAATTGCAATTCCTTCTGAAGAGGTGCTAACTATTTTTATAAGAAAGGGCTTATTTTGTGTACCACACACATACAAAAAAGAAATAGTTTTTCCAAATAACTAAGTATAAATAGCATGTTAAAAATAATTTAAAGTGCTGCACAATATTAGTTTGCCAGAGTTAAAAAAAACTGTTCCACCTAAAAAAAATAAAATAAGGATTTCAATCATTTACAAAAAATGGGACATACAACAGGAATTAGCTCAAATATTGTTCATTGAAGATGTCTATAATAGAAATGTCTTGTTTTACTACTTTACCAAAAACTTTAAGCATACCAAACATGTAAAGTACTAAAAAGTCATTTGAACAATAGATTTTACAGGTAAAAAGAAATTAAATTTCTCAATTAAGAAAGTTGGTTTACCACATGGGCAATAATGATAATTTAAAAAATACTGGAGACTAAAGGGCAGTGTGTACACTGAATGATTGATGGGGGAAGTTGCAACACAGAGGCTTATTTGAATTGTGACATTCTCGCATTTCTGGCAATTGTTTATGGTGAGTTTTTCTTTCACTACATCGCCCTACCGTGGTATAAGACGACGCTTGTCATAACAAAAAAAAAGTATGTTCGTAAAATAATTGAAGTTGTCATAAACACCATTAACTTGATTGTATATTGTACCCTGTTTACTGAAATGTGTTCATTTCATAATTACAGGCTTTTGGTGCCTATCTGATAATTTACTTAAAATTTTGGTTAAAGAGGAAGAAAGGGTACACTGAGTTTTGGTGGAAATACATCTCTAAATATGTATATATGTCTGGGATTCATTAGTTCAGAAATTGCTTAATAAGTTTCTCTGGAACACTATTTTAATTTTTTATGACGATTTTGTATTTTTTAAACACTTAAGTGTAAATTAATGCTTATGAGGTTTAAAGAAATTGAATAGCAAGGGAGGAACATGTGGTAAAAGATAACATTATAGGACTTGACACAACTGCTGTTAGATGGCCAAGGGGGTTTTAAGAAAGTAGACAAGTTGTAATGCGCATGCAAGTTCACATGGCAAGTAAAAAAAATGAAGTAAAAAAATGTCAAAATAAAAACCCAAAACGTAGGGTGGATGGACTCTAAGAGAAGTCAGTCTCTCCAAACCACACAACAGCTTTTTCCAAACCACACCCCGTCTCTCAAACCACACCTCCCCTCCCCCAAAACAACACCTCCCCTCTCCTCCCCAAACTACCCCCTCCCCTCTCCCCAAACCACACCCCCCCTCTCTCCCAAAACCAACACCCTCCCTCTCTCTCAAAACCCACCCTCCCCCTCTCTCAAAACCACAACCCTTCCCTCTCCCCAAACCACACCTCCCCCTCTCCCAAAACCACATCCTCCCCTCCCTCCCAAAACTACACCCTCCCTCTCTTTCAAAACCACCCTCCCCAAAAACCACACCCTCCCCCTCTCCCCAAACCACAACCTCCCTCTCTCCCAAAACCACATCCTCCCCTCTCTCCAAAACCACACCCTTTTCCTCTCTCCCAAAACCACACCTTTCCCTCCTCCCAAAACCACATCCTTCCTCTCTCCCCAAACCACATCCAACCACATCCTCCTCTCTCCTCCCCAAACCACATTTTCCTCCCTCCTCCCCTAAAACCACATCTTTCTCCCCTCTCCCCTAACCCATCGTCCTCTCCCCAAACCACATCCTCCCCTCTCCCCAACCACATCCCCTCTCTCCCCCAAACCACCTCCTTTTTCCCCAAACCAAACCCCTTTCCCCTCTCCCCAACCATCCTCCCTCCTCCCCAAACCACATCCTCCCCCTCCTCCCCCAAACCACATCCCCCCTCTCTCTCCCCAAACGCTCTTCCCCCTCCCCTTCCCCAAACTGCATCCTCCCTCTCTTCCCCAAAACCACATCCTCCCCTCTCTCCCAAAAACCCACACCTCCCCTCTTTTCCCAAAACCAATCCTCCCCTCTTTTCCCAAAACCACATCCCCCCCTTCTTTCCCCAAAACCACACCCCCCCTCTCTCCCCAAAAACCACATCCTCCCCCCCTTTCCCAAAACCACAACCTCCCCTCTTTTCCCAAAAACATCCTCCCCCTCCCCCTCCCCAAAACCACATCCTCCCCCTCTCCCCCCAAAAACCACATCCCCCCCCTCTCCCCAAACCACACCTCCCCTCTCTCCCAAAACCACACCCTCCCCTCCCCCCCAAACCACACCCTCCCCCTCCCCCAAACCACATCCTCCCCTCTCCCCAAACCACATCCCCCCTTCCCCCCAAAACCACTCCTCCCCCTCCCCAAAACACACCCCCTCTCCCCCCAAAACCACATCCCCCCCCTTTCCCCCCAAAAACCACATCCCCCCTCCCCCCCAAAACCACATCCTCCCCCCTTCCCCAAAACACATCCTCCCCCTCTCCCCAAACCAATCCTCCCCCCCCCCCAAAAACCCATCCCCCCCCCCCCAAAACCACTCCCCCCCCCTTCCCCCCAAAAAACCACATCCCCCCCCCCCCCCCCAAACCACATCCTCCCCCCCCCCCCAAACCACATCCTCCCCCCCCCTTCCCCCAAACCACTCCCCCCCTCCCCCCCAAACCAATCCCCCCCTTTTCCCCCAAACCACACCTCCCCTCTCTCCCCAACCACATCCTCCCCTCTCCCCCAAACCACATCCCCCCCCCCCCCTCCCCCCCAAACCATCCTCCCCTCCCCCCCCAAAACCACATCCCCCCCCCTCTCCCCCAAACCACATCCTCCCCCTCTCCCCCCCAAACCACTCCCCCCCCTCTCCCCCCCCAAACCCACTCCCCCCTCTCCCCCCCAAACCACATCCTCCCCTCTCCCCCCCAAACCCATCCTCCCTCCTCCCCCAAACCACATCCCCCCCTCTCCCCCCAAAAACCTCCTCCCCCTTTTTTTTTTTTAAAAAATTTTTCCCCCAAAAACCCAATCCCCCCTCCTCCCCCCAAAACCACATCCTCCCCTCTCTCCCCCAAAAACCCACACCCTCCCCCCCCCCCAAAAACCACATCTCCCCCCCCCCCCCAAAACCACACCTCCCCCCTCCCCCCAAAAACCCACATCCCCCCCTTCCCCAAAAAACCACATCCTCCCCTTCCCCAAAACCACTCCTCCCCTTCCCCAAAACACATCCCCCCCTCTCTCCCCCAAAACCCCCCCCCCTTTCCTTTCCCCCCCCCCAAACCACAGCCTTTTCATAATGACCCCACTTCCCTTAATTTTTCCCCTGAATATTTTTCCCATTACCTCACCCCTCCTCTCCTCACTTCCCCCCCCTTTGCCCTCCTTTCCACGATCCCAACCCTCACCTTCTCTCCCCCTTCCTTATTTTCCTTTTTTTCTCTTTTAGGGGAACATCTTTTTAATGTGTTCTTTAAAATACGAATTTTGGTTCTTTAAAAGATGTCTTTTTTTTAAAAATTTTTTTAAATTCTTTATCAGTTTTTTTTTAGTTTTGATGCAAATACCAAAAATATTTGCTGCCTACTTTTTTTTTTTTATTTTAGTTATTTTGTTTTCCTTTTGCTTGGCTGGCCTGATAACGGGACATAACCATAGTCACTCATCACTCACTGCCCTCTACCCTTACATCATGGTCACCCTCAGCTGTGTTCAGGTTCATTTGCAGGCACAAGCTCACTTATTGTTACATTTGTCATTGCACACTGCTACAATATACCACCTAATTTGTTTATATTTCAGAGTACTGTATTAATCTTTATTATTGTGATATTTCCATACGTATATATAGGTTTGTATTTAAAGCTCTTTATTCATTTTTGGAAATACTTCTGTTTGCTGGACATATGAAGGATGAGGTTTACCATAGAATTGATGAAGGAAAAAAGGTGAGTGGTGCGTTGAGGTATATGTGGAGACGAAAAATGTTATCTATGGAGGCAAAGAAGGGAATGTATGAAAGTATAGTGGTACCAACTCTCTTATATGGGTGTGAAATTTGGGTTGTAAATCCTGCAAGGAGGAGGTGGTTGGAGGCAGTGGAGATGTCCTGTCTAAGGGCAATGTGTGGTGTAAATATTATGCAGAAAATTCGGAGTGTGGAAATTAGGAGGTGTGGAGTTAATAAAAGTATTAGTCAGAGGGCTGAAGAGGGGTTGTTGAGGTGGTTTGGTCATTTAGAGAGAATGGATCAAAGTAGAATGACATGGAGAGTGTATAAATCTGTAGGGGAAGGAAGGCGGGGTAAGGGTTGTCCTCGAAAAGGTTGAAGGGAGGGGGTAAAGGAGGTTTTGTGGGTGAGGGGCTTGGATTTCCAGCAAGCATGCGTGAGCGTGTTAGATAGGAGTGAATGGAGACGAATGGTTTTTTGG